TTTAAATCCTCACCCAGTTTTGTGGAAGAAGTGAATAATCTTGGAAAATCCAACAGTTTTTCTCTTGCAGCCCAACTGGTCCATTCTGGTGGCTGGTTTGAGGCTAACTCCCTGTGTCTGTGACAACAATGTCACACTGTGGGATCTGGACACAGAGACTATAGTAGTGCACACAAACACGCAAAACAATGTGGAGAAGTGGGAGTCAGTACTGGGAATTCCAGTGGAGTGGTTCTGGTATTTCATCCAGACGCAGAGCAGGAGTTTTTTGTTTTTTTTTCTTCGTCAGTGCTCTGCTCGACTGAGCTGAACAAATAAACCGCTGTTTGTTGTCCTGCAAGAAAAGCAGAGTTTGAGACGCAAATTGTGGAGGAAGTGGCTCGGAGAAAAAACAAACATGTCTGTAACCTGCGAGTGTTACTGGATCTGATGTAAGAGCAGCATATCTACAGACTGTTGGGAGATCAGATCTGATGGGGCAGTCAAATTACTTTTTCAAATGTTTCTGAGAAGTGAACAAACATGATGCAGCAAAAAGTTGAAGGGCCACTCTACTGATTGAACATTACACTAGAGTGGCACATTGTGGGTTTAACCAATGAACCTATCCTGTGGTATTATAGGAACTGTAGGATTGTTTTTGGTGCTCTGTCTATAGGGAATACAAGTCAGACTTTGACCATTCTTTTAATAAATGTTTCTCCCAAGTCTTTAAACTGTCTATTGTCACCAATCAGCCACAACATGAAGGTGGATACTGATGATCTTGTTACTATTTGTTACTATGGTATGTCCTGATGAGAAACTTTAGGTCTTGGCCTGTGGATGTCACTTTACCACGTAGCACCCACCTGATAATGAAGGATTCCCCCAGCAGGACAATGAATGCACCCATCCCAGCCACAAAGACTACTCAGGAAAGATTCGGGGAACACGACAAACAGTCCCAGGTGTTGACCGAGCCCCTGAACTTCCCAGATCCCACTCTGATCGAGCATCTGTGGCATGAGCCAGAACAAACCCGATCCATTGAGGCTCCACACTGCACTTCTGTGGCAGGAGGGGGACCAACATGGTATTAGTCTGATGGGTGTATATTCATGTAAAAGACATATGACAACAGCCTCGCAGCAAGAAGGTCGCTGGTTCGTGTCCCGGTGGGGGTGCCGGGATGTTTCTGCGTAGAGTTT